CTGTTCCGAGCAGAGAGAGGCCTGGGGTCCCAGAGCAGGAAGCGCTGACTGAGAGCCACCTGGTCTAAGGTGGCTTCTCCCTGCCCCTGGCCCCAGCTTCCTGGGCTTCTTCTCTGTGGGCTCCTCTCTGGACCCACAAAAGGGACTGGAACCTGCTCATGCCCAAGTACAGGAGGCTGATGTGACATCATGGGGCCCCCCCAAGGCAGGCAGAGGGCCGTCCTAATGACCCTGCACAGGGGCTGACGGGCTCATAACTCTTCCCCACTCACCAGGTCCCCCTCGGCAGGGGAGGCCGGGCAGGCAGTACCCTTCCTTCATGTGTGGGAACCTGGGGCTCAGAGAGAGACACAGAGGTCAGGAGCTCAGGGACTGCTGGGGAGGCAGACGGGGGTCAGTTCTGAGGGAGGGCCTGGCCCGGGCCTGCAAGTAGTCATGATGCTGTGGCCTTGCAGGAAGGCGGACGAGTCACTCTCCTGATCCTTGCTGCCCTCCCTAGCAACATGAGGAGAGAATCCCCATCTTCACCCTGTGCAGAGCACCCCGTCCCCAGGTCATGGCTGGCCTTCCCTGTCCATCCCCATCCTCGGAAGCCCATTAGGTGTGGCCTCTCGTGGTGCTTGTGCGGCCTGGTGAGACAGGACAGAGTGTGCTGTCGTGTGTCTACGTGTTTCTGTGTGTGTGTCTCCACATGTGTGTGTCTGAGTGTGGTTTTCAAGTGTGAACCAAAATCAAGGAAGGCCCTAAGGCTCTCAAGTCTTATTTGAGTGATAACTGGAAATTTCACAGGATATTTTCCAAAGCACATCTCACTTCATGGGTCAACAGGGACAGGGTCCTGGGCACTGGGGCTCTTCCCTGGCTCTGCGACCATGGCTGCTGACTCTGCCATGACCTTAGACAACCTTCACTGGGTCACACAGCCCCTGTGTCCTCCTGAAGCTCCCTGGGCCTCAAGGCTCCTGTGGCCCCCAGGGAAGGCAGTTCCCCTTTCCAAGGCCCCGTGCACTGCAGGACACTCATTGTTTCCTAAGACATTGGGAACAGATGTAGAGATTAGGGACGAGGGCTCAGGAACTCCTGAGGATTCCTGGGACTGTAAGGTTGATCCTTCCCCAGTTGAACCCTGGGGCCTCTGTGCCACCTGGCACTGGGCTGTTATCTCCTCCTATGGCTTTAGAGCCTAGGACACAGGAAGCTGGGGCAGGAGCACCGCAAGGTCCAGGCCAGCCTCAGCATCTTAGTGAGACTCTGTCTCAAAATAAAAAGTTAAAAGGTCTGGGGTGGTGGATCAGTGAGAGAACATCCCTGGGTTCAAACCCTGGTACTGAGAAATAAGAAAGGAAAGAGCCCTGCAACTTCAGGTGAGTAAATAGGTGAATGTCAACACAGATCAGGTGCAGGACAACACTAATTTTTTTTCTTTCTTTTTTTTGTACCAGGGATTGAGCCCAGAGCAATTTAGCTACTGAGCCACACCCTACCCCCACCCCAGCCTTTGTATGTTTTATTTAGACACTGGGTCTTGCTAGTTGCTTAGAGTCTTCCTAAGTTGCTGAGACTGATTTTGAACTTGCAATCCCCCTGCCTCCGCCTCTTCGGCTCCTGGGATTACAGGCCTGTGCCAGCCGTCCAGCAGGACATGACTCTGAGCAGGACATATCTGCTGCTTTCCCACACCTCTGAGGTGTGTCTCAGCAGAGGGGACCCCCAGGTCAGGGAGGGCCACTAGGCTCCTCCCACCTCCCCCTCCTGATGGCCTGGCACCAGCTGGTTCCACTGCAGCCCAGTCAGGGAGGACAGCAAGGCCTCAGGTGACAGGGGCACCTTGCAGGCAGACACCTGGCCAGCTTCAGGAGGTGCCCCAGGCTGATGTCCAGCATAGAAGGCTCCTGATCCCACAGGAACTCAGTGTCCCCACACTCCTAAGATGGACTATAAGTCCCCGAGGGGTGTGTGTGAGTGAGGGACAGCTCATGGTGCAGGGCATCCGGTGAGTCTCCCTGTGGCTCCCCGGGCTGCACAGTAAGTCCTCCCCCATCACCTCCTGAGCTGACTCGGGAAGTGCTCGCGGCCTCCTGCCTGCTCCAGCACCCGGGGTCCACCCAGGAGAAGCCGAGGAAGGCACAGCTCAGGACCATGGGCAGGTCTCATCTGAGCCCAGGTGCCTGGCCTTGGCCCTGCTGCTGGGAGATTCCGGGAAGCTGAGGGCCTGGCTCTGCCGCCCCAGCACACAGTGGGCCTCGGGGTGAACACTGGGGCTGCAGCTGACCTGGTGACTTCTCCTGTGGCCCCTCCACACGTGCACTGGCTCTGAGTCTCCTGTCCTTGCTGGTCTCTGCCCTCAGAGGGTGGAGGAGGCGACCTGGGCAGCCCCTGGGCCTCTGCCCCTGACTTCTTACCCTGCTGCTTTGGGAATCCAGCCCGAGCCAGAGGCCCAGACCGTGGCTCCTGCACTGCATGTCCCCAACCCCCTCATGGAGAAAGGGGGCCCTTGGAGCTCAGCCCATCAAGCTGGCTCCTCAGACCCCGAGGAGGTCCAGGGTCCTGTCCCCTGCACTCACTGACCCACCCTGCGGCCCCAGTGGCCTCTGCCCTTCATCTCCTGCTGGAGACCCAGGAGAGGTGTGGACCTAACTCCTCGGTGACCTGGCTGACCTTTCAGCCCTCTCCTTGCGCTTTCTCACTAGGTTCATGGCTTTGTGTCCCATGCGCCAGCCCCTCGCCATTCTGAAGGCTGTGGGTTCACAAAGCCCACCACCTCTGCCCCTAGGAGCTGCCCTCCCAGGTCCTATCTGGATGTAAGTTTGGTATCGACCTTTATTTCATTTAATTGTCCCCATCCTTTTTGAAAGATAAGGTTCAGAGAGGTTCCACTGTGCCGTGTGGGTGGCACAGCTGCTCTTGGCAACCTGGATTAGAACTCGGGTCTGTTTAAATCTCTTCCTGCCCCAAATGCTGATCTTCCAGAGAGAAAGCCTCATCATGTCCACAAAAGGTCTGCGACAACCTTGGTGGCCAGGACAGAGCATTGGGCTGTTGATAGGACCTTGGCTATGTATATGCAGGGCCCTGACCTCTGGAGACAGGTGCAGCAGGTTAGTCCAAGGATACTGCCCCGAGCCGGGGGCATCGCACTCTCATGAACTGTGGACCCTGCGGCTCTGAGGTGCACCTTGATGTGTGGGAGACCAGCTATAGTGTCCTGGAGGGTGGGCACAGCAGCCTCAGAGGAATCCTGGGACCCCACACAGCCCTCAGGTCAGGAAGGAGAAACATCCCAAATGCCTGGGTCTTGGGCACACTTTGGCTCCAATGTGGCAGATTGAACCCACATTGCAAAGGAGAGCTTCTGTCCAGTCCAGAAAGAGGACAAACTGGCTGGGGTGCTCAAAGCTCTTCAGCAATGGTGCTCCGCAGGGGACACTCAGCAATGTCTGGAGATTATTTTATTGCCACACCTGGGGGCCGCAGCGTCATGACAGACATCTGGTGTTCTCTCGGCTGCCACAAATCCTGCAGCAGTCCCCCATGGCAAAGCATCCCCCAGCTCAATATGTCCACACTGCCAGGACCCGGAACTCTGCCATCCTGGGTGCTCAGCCTGAACAGTAGCCACACTCCCAACCTCAGAGGACTCAGAACGATAGGAACGGCCCCAGCTGCCCACAGAGCACCACAGCGGACTGCAGACCTGTCTGGCTCCAGCTCAGTCTGAACTGCCATGTGGTCTTAAGTGAGTTACTAGAACCACTCTAAGCCTTGCTTTCCCCCACCCTGTAAAGTAGAATAAGACATGCTTTGAGACCAAAGCCAGTGACTGTAAGTGTCAAGGACCAGGGTGATCCCATAGGCTCTTTATCAGTGGCAATTCCCAGGTTAGGAATGCCATGGGACTCAGAAAAATATCAAATTCAAGTGGCTTACAAAGTGAGGGCTGTCGTAGTTGCGAGAAGAGGGAAATGCCTGGAGTGTTCGGGATCTGGGGAGCATGGGCTGGAATCAGGCAGCTGTGGATGACCATAGCTGCTCTGTGTTTTGGCTGTGGGTCTTGGCACGAGATCCTGCCCTCTCTGGGCAGCAACTGCTCTGTCTATTGTATAATGGGATCAGTGGGAGCCTGCAGAAATATTTCGGATGCTTCAAAGTCCTCCCTGATCTGATAGAGTCCATTTGCTGGGTAACTCTCAGGCTTCCTGTGCCTCAGGTTTTTCATTGTAGAATGGGGTCTGGGGCACCTGCACCTCAAGGTCACTGCAGGGGCTCAGGACCCAGCCTGCCTGCTGCCTGAGTTGGTTCTGCCATTTTACTTGCTGGCTGACTTTGGACATCTATGTGCCTTAACCTCTCTGGGCTTCAGCTTCCTTAGTAACAGAAAGTAGTCACAATTCTCCCCTCAGCACTGTGACAAGAAAGCCAAGCGTGAACACGGGTGATAGCTGGGCCGAGGTCACCAGAGGGACAGCATCATGTTCATTTTGATATTTGCCTGATTCTTTTCCGTGATGAGGACTGAGTGCATTCTGTGTTGGGTCGATCCTGGTGAGGACAGGTTTATTGGGACTCACAGCTCAGGTTCATGGCCAAGGGTCCATATCTGCTGAGGGCTGTCTTGACGGCCAGATGTCATAAGGTGGCACGGGGGTCATGTGGTCAGACTCAGGGAGCAGGTGTGTGTCTCCCCTGGTGTCTCATCTAATTAGACCCCCAGATTCAATCGTGGGGCTGCACCCTGGTGGCCTTATCTAGACCTGCTCACCTCCCCAGGGCCTGGTCCAGGCTCTACTCTCTTGATAGCTCACCGTGGGGGTTAGACCCTGCTGTGCCTTTCAGGTGCACCATCATCACTGCTGATGAAGAGGTAGGCAGCACCTGTGTGGGCTGGGCACCTGGCACACGGGCAGTCAGCTGACTCTTTTGCTTGGTGTCCATCACTGGGCAGGGGAGTCGTCTTGGCCTGTGCTCAGGACATGGCCCTCCCTTCTCTGTCTTGCAGGACGATGCCATCCTCCGTCTCATGGGGCCTCCTCTTGCTGGTAGGCCTGTGCTGCCTGGCCCCAGGCTCCCAGGTTCAAGATCCCCAGGAGGCCCAATCATCTGATCATGGCCACGAGCATGAGGAACATTCAACCTGCCACAATGTCTCCTCCAGGGTCATTGACATGGCCTTCACCTTATACAGGGAGCCAGCCACATGGTCAAGACACAGCAATATCTTATTCTCCCCAGTGAGCATCGCGATGGCCTTTGCCATGCTCTCCCTGGGGACCAAGAGTGACACTCACACCCAGATCCTGGAGGGCCTGAAGCTGAATCTCAGCGAGACTCCGGAGGCTAAGATCCATGAGTGCTTCCAGCATCTCCTCCAGACCTTCCAGAAGCCCAGCCAACAGCGCCAGGTGACCACGGGCAGCAGCCTCTTCATCCACAGCAGCCTAAAGCTCGTGGATCAGTTTGTCCAAGACACCAAGAATCTGTACCACGCAGAGATCGTCCCCGTCGACTTCAGGAACACCCACGAAGCCAAGAAACAGATCAACAGTCACGTGCAGCAGAAAACCCGAAGGACAGTAATGGGTCTGGTCAATCATCTGGAGAACGACACGGCTCTTGCCCTGCTGAACTACATTTCCTTCCATGGTGAGGTGCCTCCAGCCTGAGCTGGTTCCAGTGAAATAATCCAAAGTGTCCTTCAGGCTCCCTCTTGTTAAACTCTCCTTCACGATGATGTGGAAAGGAATAGGGCAGGGCCTCTCCACTTGGCCTCCTCGGGTTTCCACTAGGACACGATTCAATCCATTCTGTGAACCAAGGAGGCTCGGGAGGGACGAGCTCAACCTGGTCATGGGTCATCTTCTCTGCAGGACCTGTCAGAGCCCTGTCTGTCCTCCTGCTCACTGGGGATCCCCAAGAGGGAGGGACACATGTGATGGCTCCTAACTAGAGAGCCACAAATGCAAGTGGTAGCAGGTGGAGGGAGGGAGGGCCCTTTCATGAAATGTACTTTGGACAACTCTTGTATAGTGTGGCAGCTGGGAGTGTGCAAGACCTGGGTTCAAATCCTGCCTGCACCACCCAATGGCCTTGACATTGGAGGAGCCATCTCATCATTTGGGATGTGACTGTCCTATCTTGTCAGGTCTGAAAGGAGTACCCAAGTCACACAGAGCATGGCACAGTGGGGGCCCATCACAGCTAAGCAGCTGGCATGGACCCTCAGCCTGCCCACCTGCCAGGACTCCAGGGCCCCAGGTCCTAAGGCAGCTTCCACTGACCCAGGGCAATGGCCAGGGGAGGCCAGCAGAGTCAAGGCCAGGGTCGGCTTCCTCCCACCCTGGCTCCCTTGTTCCTAGGCGGAATCCCGTGCTGAGCCCCAGGACCTGGCAGCACAACTGAGGGGCCAGCTCTCGGAGACTTAGGGCAGCTCTTGTCCCGCCCAACACCACCTCCTCCTGCCCAATGAGATATCAGGCTCAGGCTTCCCTGTGGCACCTGCCACTCTGCTGCTAGTGAGGGTCAGGCACTGTTGTCCAGCACAGGGGGAGCTCTGGGCTTCACATAGGTCCAGGACGAAGACTTAGGGGTGTCCTGAATACAGACAAAACCATGTATCCACGAGGGACAGGGAACCGTTGGGAAAGAAGCACCCAGGGGCGATCCTGCCATCAGTGTTCTTAGCACCTCCGGGTACTATTAAATCCACATAAAATCCACCTAGAGCCATGTCTCTTTGGAGTCGGGTTTTCACATTAAGCCTGACTGTATCCAAATCCTAAAACCCCCTCTGGCTTTCCATTGTATCCACATAAACCTTCAGCAGCCTGTTTTCATCTTCATCCCATTTGACAGACACTGAAACTGAGGCTCAGAGAGGAGCTTCACAGGAAGGGGGCTCAGGGCACCCTGGTGGCTGCCTAGTGCCCAACCTACATCTCACCCCCTCCCTCCCTGCCTCCCTCCCTCCCTCCAGGCAAATGGAATGAGGAGCCCAATGCTGAGCGGCACATCGTAGAGAACTTTCACGTGAACAGGAAGATGACCATCAAGGTGCCCATGATCCACTGCCTGGGCAACTTCTTCCTGCACCGCGACAAGGAGCTGTCCAGCTGGGTGCTGGTTCAGCACTACCTGGGTGACACCACCACCTTCGCCATCCTGCCGGACCCAGGGAGGATGCTGCAGGTGGAGAAAAAACTGACCCCCAAGCACTTTGAAGATATCCTGAGAAAGAGCGACCTCAGGTGATGCCCCGTCCAGGAGCCCACACAGGAGCTGCCATGATGGCTGGGGGGGCCTGTCCCCTGCGCAGGGCCCTGTGCTACAGGCTCAGCAGCTGTGCTTCCCATCAGTGTGAGCCAGGCTCAGGGAAGGGTGAGTGACAGGGGAGTGCTCCCAGAGACTGGCCTGAGGACTTCACTGCCCTCCAAGGTCAGTGCACTGCCCTTCACCTGGGGCCATGAACAGCAATGCCAGCACGTTGTGTCAGGACAAGGACAAAGGCCTGGGCCTGCAGGCTAGGGCAGCACGAGAGAGGACTTCCCGGAAGATGGGATGTGGTGCACAGGGGAAGGGCCTGCATGGAAAGGCCCAGAACAGGAACAGGCAGAGCTGGGAGCTCAGGGCACGTTCCCACAGGCTCCGTTTCTCTGTCGTATCTCGGGCTGCTTCATGGGCCCCAGAAGCCACAGAGCTGGGGTGTGAGGCACAGAGCAGGGCACAGGGGCACGGTAATGAGCCCAGCCCTGGCGCAGATGCAGGAGGTGCTGCAGGCAGATGTGACACCCGAACCTGCAGGTTAACAGCCCCTGGGTGGTCACCACCGCTGGCCCACCCTGCCCTCCTGAAGCCACCACACCCAGGCTGGGAACAGAGCACAAGGCAGCCTGGCACTGGTCCCTGAGCTCAGGTGCCAGTGTGTGGCCTCAGCACAGTCCCTGGGCCTCACCCCATCCCTGGGGACAGGAGCCAAGCCTGCAGCACAGCAGGGGTCCAGGAAGCTAAAGCACACAAGCCAGTGACTTCCTGTTCTGCTGAGGGTGGGCCAGGGCACTGAGTGGGAGAACCAATCAGGAGAGGAAACACTTTCACAGCACCATGGGGCCCAGCAGAAGCCAGAAACCCTGTGAATCGCCCTCATTTCCCACCTTCATACCAGGCCAGCCAATTTACACTTCCCCAAACTGTCCATCTCTGGAACCATCGATCTGAAGCCCGTCCTGAGAAGTCTGGGCATCACCAAGGTCTTCAGCCATGAGGCTGACCTGTCTGGGATCACGGAGGACGCTCCCCTGAGGCTCTCCCAGGTGAGGATGGCCGTGGTCCAGGGGTCTGCAGGCCAGAGTGGTGGGGGCCTGCTCAGGCCTGAGGCTGAGGGAGGGGCCAAGGGACACAGCAAGGGCCAGGTGGGTCCTCCTGAGGATGCAGAGCTTCACCAGCTCTGACAGGGGAGGAGGACAGGGCCAGGGAGGTGGCCTCCGGTAGAGCTGGCCTTGCAGGGACCTCCCCTGAGGGGCCCCCTGACCCTTGGCCTCTTCCTTTCCCAGGGCCATTGAGTCCTTGGGCTTCTGTTTACCCACATTTACTCAGAGAGGCTTAGGCTCAATGACTTCAGGGAATGTTCTGGAATCTTCCACCTGTGACATTTAGAGATACTTGTGAACCAGCAAATCTGAATTATTCCTGAGTCCACTCACATGGGCCACTTAGGAAAACAGGAGGGGACCAAGGGAAACTGCAGGTCCATGTGGGTGGCTCCCTCTTGGGGTCTGGGCACTGGGAAGGTCAACACCAGTGTCCCTGTGCCAAGGACCTCTGTCGCGACCCCTTGCCCGCAAGGAAGACGCAACTCAGGAATCTTCTTTCAGCAGTTTATTCAGGCCCTTGATATTTCTTCTTCTCTCTCTCTGATGCCCCTCCCAGCCTTAATAAAGCATCCCAAGCCCCAGTGCAAAGCTGCCGCATGGAGCTTTCTCACAGGGTGGTGAAAAATCATGTGCCAACTTTCCCAGATAAGGAGTTGTTTGTCACAGACCACAGCGGAGCCAGCATCATCTTGTAATGGCGACCATAGTCTGCAGAAACGGCAGAAGCGGCTCACCACAGTTCCCCCTTTTCTGTTTTCTTAAAACAATACAGGCGAGAGTAGAGGTCCTATCCCACTGTGCAGAAGTGGCTGCATAGTATGACTCAGTCCTAAGGAGGGCCCTTCCCCAGATCTGAGGCCATATCAGCCGACGCCTTTTTTCGTGGGGCGGGGCGTGGACGCGTCTAACCCGCATGCAATAGGACATGCTCTCCTTGAGGTCCACGTCAAGGATCACTCAAGTGCAGTGCCTTGCCTCGCATCCTGTATTGTGACGATGGTGGACGAAGGGGGATAGCTGAGGCTGAACTGTGGCTGTTTATAACGACAAACAAGTTGACAGCACCCTGAAAGAAAGGCACAGACTTTAAGGTGATAGAAAAGCACTAGTGTGGAAACCCATCTGCATGCAATGGCAGTAAGACCGGCAGAGTGCAAGGGCTTTCCAACACTAAGAGAATAACAAGGAAAGTCATGTCGATCCCAGTGCAATGTTATAATAACTTGGGGTGTAACGACCATGACAAAGGTTTACTGCTTAAGATGCGCAAGCCAGACTTGAGGCGAGTTGCCATTTTCTAAAGCTGCAAGAGCTTGTATGATCATAGCCTTTTCTTGTGCATGGCGAGTTTTAAGGCGACAGAGAAGCCACAAACAAAGTACAACACTGAAGCAACACATAGCACCAAAAATGCCCACTCCCACCCATTCCTTAAAAAAGGAAAAGGCAGAGGATAGCCAACTGGTGAATTGACCCAAAGTCACTGGTTCGACACGGGTGCTATTCAGAACAGCAATCTGAGTTAGTTGAGACTGGATCAAGTTTTCTGCTTCCATGGACCAGGTTCCGGATAAATATTCCCCGATGATGCGGGAGGCATTTCTGGAATCATAAAATCTGACAGAGGTTATACATAAATGTGCACGTTGGTCAACACAACCCAAATGTACTAGGTCAGACAATTCCTCAACTTGAGCTTGAAGCAGATCTATCCTTTGATTAGCAGCTAGAATCCCAGATAAAGTGTGTTGATTAATTCTACTTTGAGATTCAAGTATGGTGGATGTTTGTTGAATAACCTGATTAATAGTGGCAGCAGTTTGTACCTGGCTGGCCATGGCTACTCCAGCTATAACTGCTGCAGCAGCAGACACCGCCACAGCTGTCACTATAGCTGCCGTAATTCCAAAATCTCTACGGGCTCTAATCAGTTCAACAATAGGAAAAGACTCTGTATCTGCAGTAACCGGGATCGAGACAAAAGTTGGAATTTTCATAACCATTGCCGTAGTCCAGGATCAATTCCAACACTCAGACAAATAACAGGTAATATTAGAGCAATTAAGCATCCCCTGTAATGTAACATTAGCCAAAAGAAACAGGAACGGAGATTGGAGACGGACTGCTGCGGAGGGTAATGTAGCATTAGATAATTGTGAATTATTTGCAGAAATTTTAAGCCTCCTACCTCGCTCCGAGTCTTGGGTACTGCCAGAAACATTAAACAGCCAACTTTGGACTCCTAATATTTCCCTGGGGAAACACAAGCGCGGACTAGACTAGCCCAATCTGAGGGAGTCATGCAAAATCTAGTAAGTCCCTCCACCTGAGTGAGAGTGAAAGCGGCATCTATGCCATAAGTGCGGACAGATTCTGCCAAGGTTTTAATTAGCTTAAAGTCTAAAGGCTCATGATATCTTCCCCTGTTATTGTCCTGAAATACAGGGTATGCAAGTCCCATATCTGTATTAACTGTCCTCCAAACTTGTGCATGAAAAGATCTCCCGGAACCTTGGCTCCCCCCACATACGGAGGTGGGGCAATCGGCACCATATCTTCTTCTAGATATTCTACCTCCTCCTCCTCAGAGTTTTGTTGACCGATGTTAACTCCCTTCCCCTTCTTACAGTAGGCCTGCGTGCCCTGTGTCTCCTTTTTCTTCTTTTTCATTTTTATCTTATGTAGTTGTTGTAACAATATATCAAGGTCCTCAGAACTCTCTGAGTCGCTTGTGTTCTCAGGCGTTTTTAATGCGGTCAAGTCTGGGTAGAGCCTTCTCCTATTTTTATCTTCAGGCTCTTTTGCCTTCTCACTACTGTTACTTTTAATACTCTCTGCCACTTCACTACATGATCCTTCAGATTTTTCCTCATGCAGTTGTTCAAGAATAGCTTGACCCTCACTCACAGCTTCCTGGCATTTACCATCTGTAAGGCAACCACGGACCATTTTCCAAAGGGGTATCACCCCACCCTCTAATATGCCCTGCTCAGAAGCAAAGTCAAGATCTTTGCCTAATTTATCCCAACTAGGCACAGTAAGGCTGCCCGAAAATGCAAACCACGGTGCAGCGATATCTATCTTCTGTAAAAATCTCTGTAAAGTACTATGTTTCACTTCCAGTCCCTTGGAACGTAACAGGCCATCTAGGGCCAGGAGAAGCGGACTTGAAGATGCGGCACCCATGACACAACAACAAAGGAAGCACAAAAAAAAGAAAGCGAAAGTAGGAGCGAAAGTACACAGTGCAGCTGCAATAAAATGTAAGGCTCTCTCTTTCATTACAGAGGAGCTGCCCCGCTTTGGTCGCGGATCCCACTTACTAGGGACTAACCCCGCTTTGATCGCGGATCCCACTTACCTGGGACTAACCCCGCTTTGATCGCGGATCCCACTTACCTGGGACTAACCGGTGCACCACCCCTGACTGTTGAAAGTTCTGGTTCCCGGGTCTCGGCACCACTTGTCGCGACCCCTTGCCCGCAAGGAAGACGCAACTCAGGAATCTTCTTTCAGCAGTTTATTCAGGCCCTTGATATTTCTTCTTCTCTCTCTCTGATGCCCCTCCCAGCCTTAATAAAGCATCCCAAGCCCCAATGCAAAGCTGCCGCATGGAGCTTTCTCACAGGGTGGTGAAAAATCATGTGCCAACTTTCCCAGATAAGGAGTTGTTTGTCACAGACCACAGCGGAGCCAGCATCATCTTGTAATGGCGACCATAGTCTGCAGAAACGGCAGAAGCGGCTCACCACAGACCTCCTAGCCCTACAGGGGGAAGGGGATACATGTGGAGGTGACATGGAGGCTGATGGTTTTCCTCTTGTGCCCCTGAGGTCACATCCCAGGGCAGAAGAGATGGAGGTCAGGAAAGGAGGGGGAGGGGAGCAGGCTGAGTCAGGCAGAGGCTGAGATGGGGTTGGGGGGACCTAAGTGACCCACAGGGAGGCCTAGGACAGGACAGGCTGGTCTAGCAGGAAGGCCCTGGTGAGGTCCTGTTGGTAGGAGGCTCCCACGTGGGGCCTTGCTGCAGCCTGGGGTGGGGCAGCAGGACCTCAGAGCCCTCTGCTTCTCTCCCCTCCAGGCCCTGCATAAGGCTGAGCTGACCTTCGACAAGGAAGAGACAGTGGCTGCAGGGGATGCCAAATGGGAAGAAAACACTTTGTTTAAGGCCCCCACTGTCCAGTTCAACAGGCCCTTCTTTCTCATCATTAGGGATGAGTACACCAACTTTCCCCTCTTTGGTGGCAAAATAGTGAATCCCATAGAGAAATAGCTGGTCTCAGGCTTCAGCCCCTCCCCTCCTGGCCAAGCCACCTACTTGGTGACATTAAACAGGCTGGTCTGGGCAATGTCTACAGGTGGCCTGCAAATCCTGCACCTGTGGTCTCTGTGTCTCCCTGTGTCCTGAGGTCATGAGAGAACTCCAGGTCACAGCACCTCTCAGTGCCACTGTGTCAGGTGTGGGCTGGTCAATGGTGACTGGCTGAGGCCACGTCCTGCAGGACTTGAGCATGTCCATTCTGAGATCTCCAGTCCTGACTGGGAATCCTGAGGGGGTCTGTGGCCCAACAGCAGCCAGAGGCCCAGGATCCACCCAGCACCCCATGCCCCCTCCCACCCATTGCTGGCCACACACACCCAAGAAGCCCCACCTGTTATTCAGCCTTTGTGCTCCTCTGACTAAGACCCGACCAGGACAATTTCAGAGGTGGAAACGTTTACCTGGGGCTCACAGTGGCAGAGGTCGCAGTCCACACACAGTCAGGTCCATTCCTCAGGGCCCAAAGTGAGGCTGACCCCCATGGAGGAAGAGTGGGAGGGAGGGAAGCGGCTCAGGTGGTGATCAGGAAGCACAGAGAGACTCCACTGGCCAGACACAAACATAACCCCAGAGCCATGTCCCCAGTGCCCTCCCCTCCAGCCACACCCACCTCCCTCAGTGACCCCCAGGTAACCCCCTCAGGGAGGACTCACTGATCGGCTTTAGGTCCTCACAGCCCTCACTTCTCCTCTGAACCTTCTGCAGTGTCTCCCTCCTGAGTTTGGGGACACCTCACATCCAACCATGACCCTCTGTGCCCCCAAACCTGGCGGCTCACACCCTGGCTTTGAGTAGCTGTGACTACAGCCACAGCAGGGAGGTGACCATGCCCCCTCTCACCACACTGTCCCCTCACCAGACCTGGCCGCTGGCCTCACAGGGCATGTCCTAGGGGGGTTGGAGGAGGTGGTGAGGAGCCTTCCTCAGTGGGCTGGGCCAGGACCTGACCTCTGTCCTTGTCTTTCCATAGCTGCCCAGGAGGCTCACATGTCCCCTCTTGGAAGAGCCCCTGTCCCCAGTGAGCAGGAGGGGCTCTGTGTCACTGTCTCCCCCTCAAGCCCACCAGGCCCCAGGCCCCCAGGCCACTTACCCTATGTCCCTTCTCCCTAGTCCTGTGCCATGGTCCCAGGGATGGCTCCTAAAGGTCACGGCAGGCTGCGTTGGCTGTGGCAGGGCAAGGACAGCCCCCTGGAACCCCAGCCCTCCTCCCTGCCTGGGCTCTCACTGGGGCACGTGCACCTGGCCCCTCCTCCAGGGTTCCCCCAGGTCCTCAGGACAGCAGGAGGTCTGGTGGGTGGCCCAGGCTGTCCTGGAGCAGCCCTGCCATGGGGCGCCCTGGCCCCTTCCACCCTCAAGGCTCTGGTCTGAAGTAGCTGGGAGCCCAGGTCTCGGGGTCCCCTTCTCCTGTGGCCACACTGACACCTCAGGGCCATCTCAGCATCACCCCTCACCTCTCATGGGAGGAAGGTGGACATGACGCCCTAGGTGGGGTCCTGACACAGGGTCCTCTTTACAGTCAGAACAGTCACATCTCTGCCATCACATGGCACCACCTATCAATGGATCTGAACTCTCCCTGAAGAAGAAACAGGATCTCTAGGTTTCACATAGGGACCTCCAACCTGCACATACACTTCCAATGATATGAACGTCATCAGTCACCCAGAATGAAGTGACACGTGAGTGTCCCAAGACCTGCATCTTAACACATAGCAGCTGTGTGACCTGAGTGAGGTTGTCAGACCTCTCTGAGCCCCTATTCCTCATTCCTGCCAGTACAGCCCACATTAGAGGTGGCCTGAGAGTCACCTCAGACATGGCCTCAGGCCTCCCAGACCTCTGAATAGAGCAGGTGGGGACAAGGGCACTCCTTGGGCAGTGCTGTCCCAGCGTCTCTCCCCTGAATCCTAGTCGCAGCACCGTGATGCCCTCAGCAGATATCTGTGCTTTTCCAAGCCCCAAGGAGAAAACCGAGGTTCCCGGCGGCTACCCGTCTCCTATGTTGTCACCGTCCCATGGCTAGTGAGTGGCAACCTGACCTCATGGCTCACCCTGTTCCTCCAACCCTCACCCACTCTTCTGTCCCTCCCTGGACTCATGAGCAGTAATTCCTCCTAAACCATGAGAATTGCTGGCACCTGTGCTTGGTGGCACCTGGTGCTTCCCTGGGAAGAGCCTGTGCCCAGCATGGAGTGTCCCTGCAGTTCCCAGCCCTTCTGGGCAGCCCACAACACTGGGAAGCCGCCCACAGAGCTCCACTGACCTTGCCCATAGTATTCTGTGGGAGAGGACAGGAGAGGACCTGGCTAGCTGCCGCCCTGAGGATTTAGGGAAGAGAAGGGGAGGAAATAAACTGTCCCCTCAGCCCCCTTGTCCTCAGAGGTGACAAATGATGGCCCCCAGTATTGGCTCTTCTTTCCTGTGTGATGTCCTCAGAGCCAAAGGCTTCCTAGAACCAAAGACTCTTTCACATCCCAAGATTAAGGTGGGAGATTTGACCCAAGACTAGAGCCACAACCCAGATGAGAACTCTCCAGATGCCCCTGCAAGGGACTTAAGGACCTGCCTATGTTGACCAGAAGGGAGACGTCTGAGGGAGACCAGGCAGTTTTGAGTGCCAGCATCTCTCCACCATTGAGCTCATAAGCTGGAATAATCATACTCCCTCCTACACGGAGAAACCCCGGGCCATGACTGATCTGATGCAGCCCACTACCCAGACCTAGGACGGGCCCCAATGAAGAAGAGAATCTAAAGGTAAAAGATATCAAGAAGCCCTCCTAGGAAGTCTAAGAGAAAAAAAACTGTGCCCAAGAGTTAGAAGGAATCGGAGCCAGCCCTGAGCCCTAGCCTAACCAGAGCTCATCTGCAGACAAACAGAGCCCAGTAAGCCTCCCACTGCTCCAGCACCTCCCTCTCACACCCTGGATAGCCCGGAACATTTCTCTCAGCCCCACATCTGCCTAAGGCCCCTCTGCCCTATGAAACTGGCAGCAATGATCAAAAGAGCTGTGCCCAACTGACTCAGAGCTGAGTGTCCAGGCCACTGCTGCTGCCACCCTCTCCCTGCCCAGAGGCATCCAGGGGAAGAGGGGCACATACCAACACAGCAGCCACAATGCAAGTTTGTCAGTGAATGGAAGCAACAGGTGACCAATGCAGCCTTTGTGGGACAGGCTCAGAGTGACATTTGCCAAAAATTACAAACCTAGAAGTTCTACTGAGAAGTGTGTCAAAGAGCTGATTAAGGTGGCCATCACGGTTTTCATCAATTGAGATCCAGAGGTCCAAAGACAGGCGGACCCAAAAGGATAAAAAGGAGGATGGATCTGAAAGGGGGGGGGGGTCTCATTAGAACAAAGCCAGTGGTCCAAATGTTTATAAGGAAAAAAATTGCGGCCAGACAAAAGGGGAAGGCTCCAATGGCCCAGGCAGACAAGTACCCACTGCCATGCTCAAAAGCTAGGACTTGAGCAGAGAAGGAGCGAATGCTTTTCCCCCAGCCTTTGGCCCCAGCCCCTCCTTTCAGTTTCTTCCCACTTGCTTGGAAGTCTGTGATTGATGAATATGGCAGGGGTCCCATAGACACACAGCTATATCTGATGCACGGGACCTAGCGCCTCAGGAGGGCTCAGCTGCAGCAAGCCCCTGCCCCAAAATGAACCAGGAATATGTTCATGTTAGCACACAGTAGTGAGCCACAGGGTGCTCACTCCAAAAAGACAGACCACCCTGGCTCCAAGCCACAAGCTGTGAGCCACCAGCAGGAAGGGCCAGAGAGCCCCATGCACCCAGACATAGTGAACAAAAACACAAGCGGAGCAGCCGCTATATACAATTAGACCAGGCTCCCACCTGGCAGGAGGAGGAAGCCACGCAGACAAAGAGCAACACCTAGGTGGGCACAATGGGGCTGCCATATGGGAGCTGCATGGGACCACACCTCTGCCTTCCAACCATGGCAGATGTCCCAGGGCGAGATTGACATAGGTGCCTTTTATACAAATGATGCCCCAGGTCATAATCTCTGCTAAGATTTACATTAGATTTAAGAGTTGGAGAATCCAGCAGTCAAGATCCTGCACTGGGAGATAACAAAAAATTTCCTGCATCTTAAATTGCCAGAGGCTCTATGTATGTCTCCCATCCTTAAATGACAGTTCCTCCCAGGGGCTTGAGTACATCATCCTTGGGACAGCCCTGGACTCTAACTTAAACCCCACATCTATCAAGAAAAAGTCAAATACCTTGGTTACCATCTGCAATAGAACACCTCAGCAACAGAACAGAACAACCACTGGGCCTCAAAGAAACAGGAGATCTGCTCCATTCCAGTCCCTTCAACCTGCCAAAAGACCAGAGAACTCTCGGGGGCTACTGGGTTCAACCATATACGGATCCCCAACTTTCAGTTATGGCAAAACCCCTCTATTAAGCCACAAAGGGGGGGAGAATGGGATCCTCTGATGTGGGGGCCAATACAACAAAACGCCTTTGAGGACATTAAACAAGCACTCCCCAGTGCGTCTGGATTAGGGCTCCCTGACCTCACAAAGCCTTTCTTTTTGAATGTCCATGACCGGTCTGGAGTGGCCGTGGGAGTTTTGACTCAGATGCTGGGGACATGGCACCATCCAGTGGCATATTTGTCCAAATATCTGTGAAGTACATCTGTGAAGTACTCCACATCTGGGTCCCAGGGCTGGCCACCTTGTTTACGGGCCCTTGCAGCCACAGCTCTTCTGGTGTTGGGAGTTGATAAAGTAGCCGTGGGACAAGAACTGGTTGTCAGAGTTCCTCATTCAATTTTGACATTGTTAGAATATAAAGGACATTATTGGTTGACTAATGAAAGAATGGTCAAATATCAGGGCATGTTATGTGAAAACACACTTATCTGCATTGAGGACTCCGGACTCTAAACTTTGCTGCCCCTCAGACCTGGACAACCC